TGGCTCATTTAGTGTTTTATTTAAAACAATTAAGTCCAAATTTAAAGGATGAAATGGCTCGAAGTTCGAAGCTCTGAGTTGACTTTTAAAACACAAGTAAAAATACAAGTGAAGACAGAGTCAAACAAAGACAAATTTTGTTTATATTAAGATCAGATTGATTACATCAGCTGACCCTATCTCGGTATGAACTTGAGCTCATAAAAATAAGGAATGGAATAAATGACAAGATCATGAAATTTGGTCCAACAATGATCAATGAACTTTTGTTCTTTCCTTATTCTATCTTCTAAATTTTCTACCATCGGCTGCATAAGTTGATGTGCTCTCACTTCATAGTAGAGCTTTTCAGCCTTTATTTCGAAGGCCACTTCTCTTAACCCTTGTTCCAATTCATCAATGTCTAAATCATCCCAATAGGCAGAATCTTTATTCTTGAAATCATTGAATTCTTCAACAAAGTTCTCTGCTTCGTATTGAGCATGAATTCGAAGGGACGAAAGCTGGTCTAACGATTGTGTAGTAGCCATAGAATTGCGATGACAGTGAAGAAGTAATGGAAGTTGGTCCAGAAACATATGAAGTTCTGCTTGAGCAAGGGGATTAAGGACATGGCCCCTAGTCATGATGTCACAAGCCCATCGAAGGTTCTTGAGAGGGACTTCGTCCTCAAGAACATTAAAGGGCAAGTGAGAGAAGGCTGCAAGCAGAAGTTGAGCATGTTTCCGCTCAGCTGAGGTAGGAGGAGGTGGAGGTTTATAAGGGGGAAAGACTTTCTCCATGGATAGAGCAATCTTTAGTTTCTCTGTCCAGGAAAGAATTGGTGGGGGAGAAGGTGTGCATACTTCAACTTCGGGGGACGAAGAAGACGATGTGGACGCTTCTGTTTCCGGGGATGATACGGGAACAGAAGGAACAAAGGCATTAATATAATCAAGCTAGTCAGAAGAACAGAGCGTCGCCTTCTGGGCTAAGAATGATGGGTTATACCCTCGTGCTTCTTTTGGGCGTGGGGCAGTGTGCACTATCTTTGTAGGCATGGAAGATGTATACCATGCTACAAGAAGGTTCTCTTCCAGACTACGCCGAAGGTCAATGGGCACATAGGGATAAACAACTGAACTTCGAGCATAGGAAGGAAACTCTAAAGGGTCAGTGAACTCAACAAAATGATGGTTGATTCGTTCCTTCAAATCATAAGTCTCAGGTACTGACCAGTTTGTCCAGCCAGAACCCCCAGAAGAGGAAGAGGTTGCAGCTTTATCCCATACAGAAATTTGCGAAGAAGAGTTGCTCAAATCCATATTTGTAATTTTCCGAATCAAAGGTTTGAGAGCAGATTGTTCGAACGATAAAGGCAGGTTAGAGGGGAAAGTTCTTATGTCTATAGCCTTCTAAATCGAAGGATTAGAAACAATGTGTTCGTAATCCAAAGGTCGGTAATTTGCAAAGGCGTCCAAAACTTGGATATAGAAAGGTGGGTAAAGGTGGCTAATAAATGCATGCGTTCGATGAGAAATAGCATCGACATATGACTCTTCGTATGATTCATCACTAGAGGAAAGAATTAATTTGGCCATGAAATGTATCCGTCTGTTCGAATAATAAGACAGTCCTTAAAGGATCAAGTCGAGAGTATTAATACAGATGGTGTGTGACAGTTGCATTCTGGGAAGATGCAAAACCCATGCACGTTCTAAGACGTGGGAAAAAGGACTCTGATCCACTAATATCACCAAGTCTTTGACAGCTCGTACGCGTGATGAAACTCTTGGAGTTCTTAATTTAATGGAGCAGGACCTCGGCTAGGAGGACGATCTCGGTTGTGAAACTTGAACAAAACTTGGTTTTTTGGTTCTAAGGCATTGATGAAAACAGACTAGGTCATATTCGAGTGGACGAATGATGACCTCGGTAATGAAGAATAAAGTGAACTTAGCCGATGTGCTAAATGAAAGGAATGATATAGGTTCCATCACCTTAGGATGCTGAGGTAATAGAACCTAGGGAGTAGTTGTGGGGACATAATTTTTGAATGACAACACGTGGCCGAGGTGACACTAAAGTGTCAGCCGAGGTGTCACGTGTCTTGGTCATGACACCGAGATGATCTCGGCTAGGCCGAGGTTATCTACGAAGAAACTGAAATCCGGGATAAACGGATAAGGGACAAGAGTCCTAGAATGGGAGAGGACTTCAGTTTGGATAAAGATAAGACTCTTAGAGAGTTTATCTCAATCCTACTGGGAGTCTAAAATTAGCAGTAATCCTAAGTCCATTGAAGCTAGACTTCTATTGGGATTAGGTAAGTATTGGCTATAAAAGAGAAGCACCCCAATGGGTTTAAGGTATGTTTTTTATGCTTTAAATAGTGAGTTAAACACTTTTGCTATCTTTGAGAGATAACTGACTTGATCATCGAAGTGTTCCGGGTGGACGAACCACCGCCGAAATCTCTTCTTTTTGTGACAAGTCGTTCGGGTTTAATCTATTCTACCAGTGTTCTCCAGCTGAGTGCTTGATTGGCAGTGTGATCGAAAATTGACACACACAATTTTCATGATTTTTTTTCATAATACCTAACATTACTCTATCCCATCACCTCTCCGTTCGATGGCTCCACAACTATTTTAAATCACAATGTATGACAACAAAATATCATTGTAGTCATAATCAAGGACAATAGTGTATGGTACATACCTTAACAGTGAGTTTATACCATAAAATTCTTCAAATAACACGAGTGTGATAATTTGTGGAAACAATATAAATTTTTCCCAATAAATAATTTACCTCTTTATAATTTTTTTTTTTCCAGTTGGCCGTTTAGTTTCCTTAATCACTGTCCCAATCAAGGAAAAATATGTTTAAATACATTAATTATTGTGATCCCCAAGGTATCAGTAGTAGTAAACAAATATGGAAAATTCAAGGATGATGTTTGATTCCCCATGGTTGTCTTATGGCCAACCACACTAAGCCAGCAAGTGGCCAACCCACCACAGGAGTCCCAACAAGTTGCCAACCAATGCGACAGTTTAAAACACTTGGATGTGTGAATATTAACGTTCCCCGCCCTCCCCTCCTTTCTAAGTGTATGTGTTGAAATCAAACGCTTAATCATTGAGTTTATCTACGCTTAATCATTGAGTTTATCTTTGGTGCGTGCATGGCTGATTAAGACCTATTAAGGTCACCACAAACAAGTCCCTCCATTTGATAATTCTTTAAAAAATGATATATAAATCTACTTTTTAGACTTATATTTTAGATTCAATGATATATAAATGACATGATTAATTGATAATTAAGAAAATAAGAAATAGATTATTATCTTAAATATTTTAAGTAATTACCATATCATTTGAGTTTTAAAGTATATATTATATGTACATACATCCTTGTAATTTAAGTTCGAAGGCCTAATGGTTGCTTGACTTTTAGTTGGAGCCACTGCATTGTAACACAACTCAAGTTTGAGACGTATATTTAGGTAGTACTTACCATATATTATTTGTATGAAGAAGTCTATCATATGCATTCTGTAAAAACGTATATAGTAGGAAGTATTACAATATGGCTCCATTTGGTAAGTTGGTTTGGAGGTTTTTTTGACTAAAATAATTACAAAAAATAAAATAAACTTTTTAATTCAATAAAATAAAATATCACGTCCAACCCATAATTATTACATTTTTTTTCTCACAAAAAAATAAAAAAGTCAAAAAAGTCAAAAGTCATTCCCAAATCAAACTTTTTAGCCTCATGTTAAAATAGTAAAAAAAACCAAAAAATCAACTCACTTCTCAACCAATAATATATATAATATCACATTGAACTATTTAAAACTTGCATTCATGCACATTTGTAGAAAGATTTTTAAATTTAAATTTGTACAAAGATTTTTGTTATAATTGTTGATTGACGATTGGAGTTACAAAAGAAAGAGAAAAGCATTCATGCACATTTGTAGAAAGATTTTTAAATTAGAATTTGTACAGAGATTTTTTGTTATAATTGTTGATTGATGATTGGAGCTACAAAAGAAAGAGAAAAGAGAGAGGGAAAGACCATGGTACACGTTCCTCAAAAGGTGTATATTGTATGCACCTTATAAGGTGTATATATATTTCTTAAAGGATGTGTACCATATTCATCATATAACTAAAGAAAAAAATTGTATAATTTTATACTTTTTGAATCATAACTTAAAAAAAAAGTCATAACCAAATAATAAATACATGAAGCATAACCAAAAATTTCATAAGTCATAATTAAAATAAAAAATTATTATAACTAAAAAAAATGACATAACTTAGAGGTGTATATGATATGAAGTTTGTATAGTAGAATTTTCCAACAGAGAAAGAGTGGAATTTGGTTGGCATGTGAAAATTTTACCTTATTTATAATTTACCTTTTCATTATTCCCATATTTTTTTTTGTAATTTTAAGTAATAATATGAAGTAAAATTAATTTTAATAATAAAAGTAAGTGTGAAATGAGTAATGGGGAATTTATTAGAATCACAAAAATGGATTTTGTTTTAACAAAAAACGTCAAATATATCTATTTTGCCTTTTGTGCTGGAATTCAATTGAGTAAGAGAAATGTATAAATTATCTAACGTGCTAATGAAAATAATTCTACTAATAAATTCGAGCGTGGAGTTCGGAACAACCAGTTATAGTTATAAAAAAAATATACTAATACTAGTATTTACAATTTTGATTTATATAGAATATTTATAAATAAAAAAAATATACTAATACTAGTATTTACAATTTTGATTTACAATTTTGATTTATATAGAATATTTATAAATAAAAAAAATATACTAATACTAGTATTTACAATTTTGATTTATATAGAATATTTATAAATAATATACTAATACTAGTATTTACAATTTTATATAGAATATTTATAAATTAATTAATTTTTTTTAAAAAGGGTAATTCTCTCTCTCACACCCTATTTATTTCACAGAAAAAATCACTTAAATCAGACCCCTCTTTCATCGTTCAAAAAAAGACCCCTCTCTCTCTTTCTTGGGCTCAGCCGCACTGCTCTATATGCATCTTCATCTCCGTCGTCGTCGCCTAGGGTTTCTAGGGTTTTCAGAGCCTCCGCACTCGTCTCATCCAAGCTTTTCTAGGGTTTTCGGAGCTGGATTCGCTGTCTTTTCTCCGGAGAATCTCCACGCGCCGCTAGTTCAGTGGTTTTGTTGATTACAGGGGAGTCTCTTTCTCTCTTTCATCGGCCCAGCCATAAAGCTCCGGTTTTCGATCGTTAAAGTTTTCATTTTCTGAATATATGGTATGAGTTCTTGCTGTGGTGGTGTATGGTATTGCGATACGGTCCGATTAGGGCAAGGCTGATAGTCTATATGTATCTGTGTATTGGTTGAATGGCACTGGGGGATTTAATGTCGTCTCGATTTTCGCAATCTTCATCGGCGGTTTCGAATCACTTAGACGAGTGTTCGAACCACGACGACATGGATTTTGTTGGGCAGAGAAGGGATAGGGATTTCGACACTGCGAGTAGTAGTTATGGCAATGTCACTACCACTACTACCATCACTACCACTGCTACGAGCATGGCGTATTTGCCCCAGACTATTGTTTTGTGTGACCTGAGACATGAAGCTTTCGAGGATTGTGTTCCGGCTGGCCCGTCTGATAGTGGGTTAGTCTCGAAATGGCGGCCCAAGGACCGTGTAAGCTCTTTTTCTCCCCCTATATGCTCTTTTTTGGAGAACTGTGAATTTTTAGATTTTTGGCAATGCTGTTTTAGTCTTTGTAGCAGTTTGAATATTGAGTTTGATTTTGCTGCCTAAAGCATCTGGAGTCTCTGTATTGCTCTTAAAATGACTAACATCTCCAGAATGTTGACCAAACTTACATTGGTTGAATAATAAGAAGTAAATTTGTAACCAGCAATGCAGACGATGTTTGTCATGTTAGAATAATTGACAATTACTGACCAATTAGGTAGGATTTAAAATTCCGGTTGCTAATGTGAATTGGGCATTTACATAAATTGTGATTCTAGGGATCTCAGCCAATAAAAAATGAACTTTTGTCATCCCCATTATTGTGTTTGTCTTTTTGTATATATCAAGTTTAGTTTTCAGTAACGAGTTATATACTTCACCTTCTACTCAGCGTTCTACTAATTTCAACCCTTTACTTTCTAATGTTCACATGTTCCAAGTTCCTTTGTGAATCTTACTCTCTCAGACTAGCTTCTTTGTTCATGCTTGTGTACTAAATTGATGTACCCTGTACTACTTCTCACAACATCTAGGCACCAATGTAGCGTGTCCTTTAGCGTGATTGACTCGGGAATCCTATTCCATTTTCCTCTAAAACCTTGATCCTATGCAGTGTGTTCCTATCACCCTGAATGGAAAATCGTTAGGCTCAATGTTCATAAGACATGAGCATGAGTTTTATGTTGGTTGTTTACATACAAAAACTGTCTTCTATCTTTCGGCATGTGATGGGTTGTGTGAAAGATAAAGCATTATGCACCAGTCCTTCTATATGACTATGTGGCCTGGTTGCCATTGGTTTGGAGCTAGGTATAAGGATATGGCAGTTGAATATGGCTATTTGACTAAAGTGTCTTCCAATCACTTGGAATTTCAATTTTTCTAGGGTCATTCAGGTAGTTCGTTTGTTATCCATTCTTGATGGTATTTCTTTGAGACCTATGATAGGAGAGCATGACCTATTCATTTTCAGGGTTTTTTTCTTGCAAATATACTTTTTTGATTCCATTATCGATGATCCTAATGTTTCCATTTTTTTTAATCCCCATAAGGTAATTTGGGGTGGAAATGTGCCTTCTAAAGTCAATGTTTTCATTTTTTTTCCTCATTATTTTTGTACATCTTATTTTCTCTTTTAATAATATTTATCTTTTGTTGTTGTTCAACAATAATAAAAAAAAAAAAAAAAATACAATTGTTTAACATCATTTTTTTAATTTAATTTTATTTTTTATAGTTTGTGCCTAATCTTATGATTATCGATTCAATTCACCATTCCCATAATTAGAATTTCGATTCATGATACGATTCTCGATTTGATAACTATGTTATAGTGCATGAAGCTTTAATTCCAATTCTTTCAGCTAATGATAAGGACCTTAGTTTTTTTTCTTTTCCCTTCTTTTCTTTATCTTGTTTCATGTTTTTGTAGGTTGGTGAGGTTAATGATCTGCATTGTTTGCTAAGGTTTATATTTCTTTAGAATTTGATGAGATAAATTATGCATGAGAGTGGTCTCTTACTCTGATGTTTTTGCATGAATTGTTTTTGATGTGGAGTATCCTTCCTTACCTAAGTTTATTTTATAGTTCATGCCAGTAAAAGTTCTGAGTAGTTACTTGCTGATTTGATATTATTCATACTTGTATATCTATTTTTGCATGACTCTGAACTTCTATGGCAGATGAAGACAGGATGTGTCGCGCTTGTTCTCTGTTTAAACATTAGTGTTGACCCACCTGATGTAATTAAGATATCTCCTTGTGCCAGAATGGAGTGCTGGATAGGTACTATCATCGCACTGCTTATTTTTTCCTATTTTTCTTTTTTCCTTTGCTTGCGGTTGTATTTCTTTTTTGTGTCCTGCTGCTGGAGATTGTGGTTGTAACTTTCTCAGTCCAATGTGATGAATTCTTTGTCTTCTTCTTCTTCTGATTTATTGGATAAGTGATTAGTTCTTTGTATTGATTCTTCTCAATACATTAGTTGATTAATCCTGAGGAGATAAGAAACCTGTTCTTTGTTGAATTGACTGATCATTGTGGTCATCCGAAAGATTACAAGTGTTGGTTTCTTGTTTCATTGCTGAAAACCAAATATCTTTATCAGCACATTCTGCTTTTTTATTAATTTTATTTTTTCAAGAACAGGGACGGGGAAGGAGGTCTAGGGTTTGAGCCTCAGACCTCGTGAGCCTTCTTTAGAGTCCCTACCACTGGAGCAAGCTACAGCTCAGTGGACGAACAATGGTCATAATGTAATGTTTCAGGCACAACTTCTAGACATATAAGTTATAACTATAGAACTCTATTATTTGATATGCTGTAGCACCCTGTAAACAGTGTAAACAAGAATATTAACAGCTTGTCCTGGGTGTTGAGGCATTGATTCAGGTTACTTGTCAAACTTGCTAGTTCTTTGCAATTTTCCAAACAAAATGCCATGGTCTTTTATTAAATTATTACCCATTTTCTAGCTTATTCAGGAATTGTGCAGACCCTATGCTGTATGTACAATCATTTCAAACTGTCAGTTAATATTGGTAGCTTTGCTTCACTATTTGCATTTAGTCGGATGCAAGGTTTTCAAATTCGCCAACTTTATGCATATATCTGTGAAAAGTTAGATTCAGGCCTTTGATCGACTATGAATTGGTCAAAAATTAGATAAAAATATTTGGCTGAAAAGTTGGAATATTTGGAAAAACGCTAGAAAATTTGAGTTTTGATAAATTTCTCTGCAATTTGGTTGAAAAAAGTAAAAAAGTAAAATAAAATTTTGGATTAGTCAAATTTGGCTGCAAAGGCTGAAGTTTGGGAAATTTTGGATTTTGATATATTCACGGAATTGGATGAAAACTCATGTTTACAGAACTATAGTGGGATGGCAAACTAAAATAGAGCATTAAACTTGTTTCATGGTCTTTTTTATGCTTATATGTATATAAATGTCTTCTGAACTTAGCCCGTTACAGGCTTCTTGTACCGATGTCATGTGGTATTCTGTCTTCTCTTGTTATCCTTGATTTTCTCCTTTTGCAGATCCATTCGCTATGGCCCCTCAAAAAGCACTTGAAACTATTGGGAAAACATTGAGTCTTCAGTATGAGAGGTGGCAACCAAGGGTGAGAACATTTTAGTTTCTAATTGTATTATTGGGTGCTTCATTAAGTTCAGATTCCTTTTTGAATGTGTTTGGGTGATGCCATGATGGTGATGGATTTATAGCGGTTGCAATATTTGTAGTGAAGGATTTTACTGTACATTGTCCGATCTCCAATTTGGGCCTAGGATTCTTTTCCCCAATGTATGTTCAAATAAAATTGAAAGAACAGAATCAAAGTCATATGAAAGACTGAAATTAAGTGGGTATGACTTGTAATTAAGTGGGTATGACTTGCATACAGAAAATAATAGAAATGGTAAGGAGTTGCCATTAAAGTTATCTGTGATGTAGGGTATCGTCTAGGAACCAAGAATAACACATGAAAAATTATGAACACACACAAACAAGAAAACTTCCTATTTTTCTTAAATTTGATTAAGAATCAAAACACATGAAATAGGCGTAAAGCATACAATCTAATTTATAATAATAAAAATTCTAACAACTATATGAATACTAAAAAGGAAAACTTGTAATTAAGTGGGTATGACTTGCATACAGAAAATAATAGAAATGGTAAGGAGTTGCCATTAAAGTTATCTGTGATGTAGGGTATCGTCTAGGAACCAAGAATAACACATGAAAAATTATGAACACACACAAACAAGAAAACTTCCTATTTTTCTTAAATTTGATTAAGAATCAAAACACACGAAATAGGCGTAAAGCATACAATCTAATTTATAATAATAAAAATTCTAACAACTATATGAATACCTATGTTACATGGACTCTTCAAATTAAATCAAATACCCGTGTCGGACACCCGACACTCGGACAAGGGTATGGGATATGTGTCGGATACTTTTCAACGGATACTTCTTATATAATAGTATATAACACTATTATTATATGTATATATTGTTATATAATTGCTATAAATGTCATTTTGACACTATAAGTTAAATATAATACCATTTTATCTCACATATTAGATTAAAAATATAAAAATATGACATTTTTTTGCCGAGTCCGCGTATCCTTAAATTTATGATTTGATGAGTCCGACCTCTAGATACATACCCGCACCCGACACCCGTACAAAATAGTAGAAAACTAGTCATGAGTCTGGTAGACCAAGTAATCCAATTTTTTATAGACAAAGAAATAAAAATATGAAATCTAACCAATTTGGAAACTAGAAATATATATATATATATATATATATTGATTGGCATTGGGGTGTCCGGATCAAATTCTGATTAATCCTCAGGGGTGCACAAGCCCTCGGCAAAAAGTTTCCTGCAAGTGCACCGCGGTTAATTCAAGGGTTTTCCCGTAGTCTGATGGCCCTAAGGAATTGTTCAAAACTAGAAATATTAGACTTAAATTATAATTCTAGTCAAAATATAATTTTAGAAAAATAAAAATAAAAATTTCTAAAAATCCACTTGCATCATCATCCTCACCTTGAATAAACTTCAAGTGAGGTAAGGTAAGGCATGTCCTTTGAAGATTCCCTTTAATCACATTATCACTTATGCATTCAACTAATAACCATTTGTGATTGGCTGTTGGAAAATATTCAATAGATTGTAAAGCATCACAAAAGGAAGCTTTGCTCCTAATGTAAAACTAGACTCTTGTTCTTTCAAGGGCCAAGATTACTTCTAATGAATTGATTTTGGAATCAACCAAAACAGGAGATGCATCTTGAATCATGCTAACAAGAACGTTTTTAATCTCAACTTCTTTTTTTGTCCCTTCGAACATAAAGTCTTTACTTGAAGGTCCGGTTCTTAGTTGTCGTCATTAAATTCCTTGTCTTCTATGGGCTCAATTTCAATGGATTTCCACTATCGCTCCTACATCAAGTTCGACAATATCTAATTCCATCACGCCTTCATTTGGGTCTTCATATATATCAAACTTCGGACGACTCAAATCTCTCTTTCTTTCAATATCTAGCTGATTTGAACTTGACAAATCCATCAACCTGCTCCTCGTATAATTTGTATCCACAACCACATAATAGTTATTAAATTGTTGTTGATATTGCAAATCAAAATTATCTTGGAACAGTTGTTTTGACTCAAGAATTTATTTCAACTTAATAGTTGTTCCGGCTCAAGAATTTGTTTTGACTTACATGTGACATATTTGACTTTTTTTTTTTGAGAGGGGGGGGATCTCCTTAAGAATTTGTTAATTTCCAAAACCAATACATAAATTCCTTGATATTGCAAGAATTATTAAAATTGGGACTTTCAAGTTCTACCTAAAAATGCGAAGATCCATACTTCATGTGATTATGCCTATTGAATTCATATCCAAATTTTCTTTGTCGCTTTACTAACTGATATCCATCAGTTTTGACTTACATGTGACATATTTGACTTTTTTTTTTTGAGAGGGGGGGGATCTCCTTAAGAATTTGTTAATTTCCAAAACCAATACATAAATTCCTTGATATTGCAAGAATTATTAAAATTGGGACTTTCAAGTTCTACCTAAAAATGCGAAGATCCATACTTCATGTGATTATGCCTATTGAATTCATAACCAAATTTTCTTCGTCGCTTTACTAACTGATATCCATCATAATCCTTGAATAACTCATCTTCAGAGTCATCTTCACTATCGGTTTGATAATGAGAAGAACATCTCAAGATGTTGTGGTTAATAGGTTGGCTTTCTATTAACACATTGGTTTCGAGACTGATATTTTACGACAAATCTGGTCCGATGGCTGGGCACCACCAGATGTTCTAAAAATATTAAACTTGAATAATAGTTCTAGCCAAATCTATTTTAAATTAAAAAATAAAAATATAATATTTCTAAAAATCCACTTGCCTCGAATAGGAAGATAAATGCTTTTGATATGTCAGCTAAGAAGCACAAACACTTATAAGAAAGTGTCGTGTCCTTGTATGTCGTATTATTATTTAAATTTTTTCGTATTGGATGCATTTTTTAAACTTGGAAGATATATGCTTCCATCATTTAGACACACATGTGACACATGGCAAGTTTAAAGAAGGTAACTTTGGAGCTAATGATTAAAATCAAAACAATGTGATGTAATAACTATTACTTCCTTTTTAAAAAGTTATAATTTTATGAATTCTAAAGCCAAAAAGTTTCAATTTTCTTATGAACTGGGCTTTGTAAAATAGATGTTAGGATTTTTTGTTAACACTTCTTTTTCAGTAGATAGATATGGAAAATGAAGAAATTGTTATTATTTTCATGAATATGTAAAAATATTTTTATTTGTTCTTGTGCCCTTGTCATATCGTGTTCTATTTTTTTTATTTTATTTTATTTTTTTTAAATTGTCATGTTGGCATGTCCGTGTTGTGCCGCATCCATGTCTCATTCCCATATCTGACTTCTTTGTCTGTTAGTGCAGTTCAACAGACCCTGCAACCTGTCATTCTTTTAAATTTTTGAAATTGGGGCCTTTCATGAGAGGCTTTATTCTCATGCATTTTTTTAAACTCTTGATCCAATCCTCACTCAAACACATCCTAATTTGTTGAAATTTGAACAGGCCCGCTACAAGACCCAATTAGATCCTACCGTAGAAGAAGTGAAGAAACTTTGTACTACGTGTCGCAAATATGCCAAGTCTGAAAGAGTTCTGTTTCATTACAATGGACATGGTGTGCCAAAGCCAACTGCTAATGGTGAAATTTGGCTGTTCAACAAGGTTTCATTACTGAGCTGAGAGTGTTTCCATTCCTTTTATTGTTCATAATCTGTTACAAATCTTTATATTCTCTTGATTGTGTCATTTGGTCCAGAGTTATACACAATATATCCCATTACCGATCAGTGATCTTGATTCCTGGTTGAAGACACCATCGATATATGTTTTTGACTGCTCTGCTGCGGGAATGATTGTCAATGCCTTCATAGAGGTATTCAATTCTGTGTAGGGTGAATTCATAATAAGCGTTTGATTTTGCCATGATATAGGAATTATTATTGTGTTTCTTCAGCTCTCTGACTTTTAGTATGATTGTCTATGTTATAGCTTCAGGATTGGAGTGCTTCTACTTCTTCTGGATCTTCCCTGAGGGATTGCATTCTGCTTGCAGCCTGTGAAGCACATGAGACTCTTCCTCAGAGTGCAGAATTTCCTGCTGCTGATGTGTTTACGTCATGCCTCACCACTCCCATCAAGATGGCATTGAGATGGCGAGACATTTTATTCATTTATTTCATTTTCATTACCAGCTTTAATTCTATTTTCTTTTGCAAACTCTTTTAGTGCTGGCCAGACTGCTAGCTTTGAGCCCCTATGTTTCTTTCTTGTCTTCGGTAATGCATCTTTTAGGTCCAAGCATCTTCATGTTTGTTAACACCCTTTTGTCATATGATCCTGAGTATGTTTTGAGCTGAGTGTACGACATAGTTTGGACTCTCATTAATTGGTTTGAAGGTAGAATTAAGGAAAGGGCTTATATTGCTGTTATGCTGTTGTTGAATGAGCTCCTGTGTCATTGTAAGTTTATGTTTTTTCTGCTATTAGCATAAATGATAATCGTGGCTATTGCCAGCATACTTTATGAAAATTGTCATACCAGGGAATAAATGAATCTGTGATTGTCAATTTTGGAGGATGATCACACTTGTTTCCAGTAATGCAGCTATATTTTTGTTTTGTATAACCTGAGATAACTAACAAAACCTTTGAAGCCAACACGCCATCTTAAATAATAAAATTCTTGAAGGATGGTGTGTTGGTTTAAGGCAAGTTCTTCTTTTGGAGACTTTTGGCATTTGATTGTTTTCTACTGTAGAATGGACTTTCTGCAAATGTATGTTGAAGCTAGTACTTTGTTGTTTGGGAGTCTCGGGTGGACGCACCCACATTTTATTTTCCACATTTGCATTTAATATTGTTATATTTGATGTCGGATAGAATGGGATTATCATGTGACATACCCATGTTAGTTATTGATGCTTATTTTTCCCTTTCTATGCAGCTCCGTTAATTAGACTGAAATTTATTTTATTTTGGAGATTACTAGCTTCATTGAATTTGCTTTACTAATAGGCTCACAATATTCTTCTCACTTTAGAGACTTCAAAGTTATTCCTTGTAAGATATATACTATTTTAATAAATTTTTATATAGTTCATCTGTAATGATTTCCCTTCTTTTTTTGATCATTTCTTTTTGGAATGATTTTATTTGTACTGATGATTTTTTTTGGTGGAGACAATAGAATCTAAAGCTGTATTACCACCTGAGATGTGATTGTTAAGTCTTCCTTTTGGTAATAGGCAGGTTGCTCCTACTCCATGGCATGCATTCTCCTTCTTTCAGAATATTTTACTTCTAAGCTAGTTCATACAGTGTTTACGTCAGAGCTGTCTTTCTTTGCAAAATTAAAGGATGTAAACCATGTCTTATGTCAATGTTAAGGGGAAAAATGAATTAACTTTTTTGCCCACTAGAGTGTTCATATATTTACTTTAAAGTATTACATTTATTTGCTATGGTTACCATCGTATGCATTCACAGTTCATCTGTTGGTCAAAATGAAAGATGGTAGATTAACAATCTTCCCCCATTAGGAAAATACAAATTTATACTCTATGACAGAAGTAATGCACTCCTTGCATTGTTGGTGCGGATAAGCAGATTTGCATAGTTTCCTGGAGTTGAGGGGTTGATTTTCATATGATTTGGGTGTTTATACTGTAAGTTTACTCATGTTGACAGTCTTCACTTTTTGTTTATTTTGGTTTTGATATTGTAGGACTTTGTTTTAACAATTACTAACTGAGCTGGGATGTGTTCCTATGAATATTTGATGTCCGGCTGTTCACACTGGTGTTCAGAACTTATTTTTGTTGCTTTTGGCTTATCATTTGAAGTGAAACTGTTTTTGTTTGACTGTTGATAAATTGTTATGTTGTGCTTTGTTCCTTGCAAATTAATTTTGCATGTTTGCTGGGTTATCAGTTTTGGCTAGCTCAGTTTATGTTATTTACATAGTTTGATTTAGTTGGAGTTTGTTCTCTTCTTTGAAGTACTCCTTTGTTTTGTTGGTAATGTTCCTATTTGATATCTTGAGTGGTTCTGGTGGTTGGCTGCTATGACTGACATGGTTTGTGTATCTTCTTCTTTGTGGTAATTATGTATGTATGAATTGGGAAAACTAATTGTTTGGTTATCATGTTGTGTGCCGCAGGTTTTGTACTCGTTCATTACTTCGTGAATCTCTCAATTGTTCACTTATAGATAGGATTCCTGGCCGTCAAAATGACCGGAAAACACTTCTAGGGGAACTAAACTGGATTTTTACAGCAGTGACTGACACAATTGCCTGGAATGTTCTCCCACATGGTAACAAAATAGCCATTTTGGTTTTGTAATTCACTGTGTAGTTGTTGTGATTGAGCTTTTTGGTTATTTATCTTTAAGCTGGTACTTTAGTAACTGCTTAATTTTGCATCCTGCAGATCTTTTTCAGAGATTGTTCAGACAAGATCTGTTGGTTGCTAGTCTGTTTCGGAATTTTTTACTTGCTGAGAGAATAATGCGATCTGCAAATTGCTCCCCAATTTCATATCCTATATTGCCGCCCACCCATCAGCATCATATGTGGTAGATAGTGTTTATACACTTGATGTTTTTCTGTTTGGTGTTCATTTATTATGTTCTCATTCTGTTACACCGTGCAACGTAGGGATGCCTGGGACATGGCTGCTGAAATCTGCCTTTCTCAACTTCCAGCTTTGGTTGAGGATCCTGATGCTGATTTTCAGGTGTCTTTCCTAAAAATTTTCTTTTGTTTATTGCCCCTAGGTTTTCCATATGAAGTCTTGAGGTTGACACAGTCACCTAGTGCATCTAGAGATATGTAGCTTTGTTCTTTCTATTCTTTTTGATGAGTCACCGTTGTAAAGTAATACTATGTTTGTTTTGTTGCAGCCAAGCCCTTTTTTCACAGAACAGTTAACAGCTTTTGAGGTGTGGCTTGATCATGGATCCGAACATAAGAAACCTCCTGAGCAGTTGCCTATTGTTCTTCAGGTTTGGCTCTTTTCTTGGTCCTTATAAGATAGGCCACAATTTGGTCATTCTTTCTATATTTTGGTGACTTTTAAGGAAATTTTCTGGCATGTAGGTTTCATGATTTCAGCATCTCCTGTCAAGTTCTGTTTCTTTTGTTTTTAATTGGTAAGGTGGGGTGAAGATTTTCCCTCTTAATTTCTACACATTGGCCAAATTGCAGATCATTTGGTCAATGCATAAGTATTCTATTCAAGTGTTCTGATGGGAATTTATTGACTTGTTTTGGTGTAATATTTTTTGTGGGAAGAAGGTTAGTGTGAAGAATGTTGAGGTTTTAATTATTTATTGTGATAGAAATACAAATAAATTACAGTACATGCCCGTGTTTCTGATGACATTTTTTGGAAGGTAGTAAACTGGGAAAATTGCTTCCTTCTGTCACGGCCATCAACTCATTATTGATGATAATTTTACCTTTATTGCTGCCTTCATCGTTCATTTGGGATAAATATCTCAACTACTAATTTCATGTTAATTGGCTGTGACCAATGCAACCATTTGATTTTGTAGTATACTTTATTTATTTATTTATTTTTGTATATCTATTATTTGAATAGCTGTGATGTACGAAATGTACGAGATAGATGCCCTAGGCAAAAACCAATGACAGAACAAACAAAGAGGCTGTAGTGGTGGTGGTTGTAATGGTGTGATGAAGGCAAAAGCAGGCAGCCATAGCAGCAGCCTCAGCAGTGGTTGTGGCTATTGCAATACTGTAGTTGATTTCTCGCAAATTTCTCGAGTACAGTCCAATGTTGGTAAAAGTGTGCTTAAAGCGCAAAGCGGAACAACACAAGTTCTTTTAGTAGTTAAAGTGATATGCATTTACAAAAACATGCTTTTTTATTTCTTTATAAAAATATAATTTATTAGTTTTTAACATTTATATCATAGTAGTAATGACGCAAACCTTGTTGATAATACACTCTAGGATTGCATTGCATTGCTTACATCAGACAAAAGCCACTACTTACCATTTGAGGGCTTTTTGGTGTTTGCCTTTTTGGTATATTTTGATTTAACTGTATACTTCATTTTGATTATGGCTATCAAATATCATGGTTGTGAATATTTTGTAAAGAACAAGAGAAATTATGTGAAAGCTATGTTTAAATATTATATGATTATTTGGTCACTAATAAATGTTTTCTAATTTAATCATAGAATTTTAATAAATTGGATAGGGGGTGACCATTGGTTCAATAGTAAAATCTTGACCTAATAACCTTGAGGTTATGGGTTTAAGTCACAGGGCAACCACTTTGTGCACTATGTCAAAGGTTAGGTGTGTATCTATGTAAAGTTTGCTCAACCTTTGTAGAGTTGCGTAAGACTAGCCATTTTAGTTAAAAGGATAAATGTATTGGTATTTGATTTCTTAGAACATATCTCTGTTATATTCTATGAATCCTTTGTGATTGTACATTATGTTTGAAAAATATGCTCTTTACTTTACTTCAGTAAGGTGCACGCTTGGCCTTTGTGCATAGGTTCCAGGAGGCATTTTTACTTAAGTGTGCTTCATGCTTTCACCAATGTTAGTAGGGTCCTACAGAAAAGTATATCATTACCTTGGATACCAAAAATAAGGATAGGAGCAACTATAGGACCTGCCTACTAAATCCACTTAAAAAATTCTCAATTGCATCCACTTTTTGCATATATCTATGTTTGCAGTTCTAATTTTTCTTCCCCTCAAGCTTGATTTTCCTTACGCTCCATCTTCACCTGTATGCTTTCTTATTGGTTTTCATTTTGTGCAACTTTTGTTGTTTCCACTTCTCTTATAAATTCAATGAATGGCCATCAAACTACCTTTTGTCTTAGGTTTTACTTAGTCAATGCCATCGGTTTCGTGCTTTAGTGCTTCTTGGAAGATTCCTCGATATGGGGCCCTGGGCTGTGGATCTGGTAGGTAGTTGTGGTTTTACTGTTGTTATTATGTACATGAGTAGTTTGTGGAATCTCATTCAATAATGCACTTTAATGAAAATTCTGTTCTTTTAGGCCTTGTCAGTTGGAATTTTTCCATATGTTCTAAAGCTGTTGCAAACATGTACTCCAGAGCTACAGCAGATTCTTGTGTTTATATGGACAAAAATCTTAGCACTTGATAAGGTTTGTATGGAAATGTTTCTGATTTGCTGGCTATGTTAGGATCGATTATGATACTGTTTTTAGAAGATAAAAATGTTAATATTTTCTTGTGGATTATTTGTGGTTGTGATCTTTCTTGCATTACTTGCAATTGTATTTAATCCAGTTTCTTTTTGCTGGATAATAGTCATGCCAGGTTGATTTGGTTAAGGATGGGGGGCACACATACTTCATAAGATTTCTAGATAGTGGAGAAGCATATCCAGAACAGCGTGCAATGGCTGCTTTTGTTTCGGCAGTCATCGCTGATGGACACCGACGAGGTCAGGAGGCATGTATTGAAGCTGGTTTGATACATGTATGCTTGAAGCACCTTCAGAGTTCAACTCCAAATGATGCACAAGCTGAGCCCCTATTTCTTCAGTGGCTTTGCCTTTGTCTGGGAAAGCTGTGGGAGGATTTCACAGAGGCGCAAATAATTGGTTTGCAGGAAGATGCCCCTGCTATATATGTTCCTCTGCTCTCTGAGCCCCAACCCGAGGTGTCCCCTTATTTTTTCATCATGATTTTTACTGTAGTTCACATTATTTTTCAGAGCTATGCATTTAATCTTGAAACATCCATTATTATTAAAGGAACTTTATTTCAGGTGAGAGCGTCAGCTGTTTTTGCACTGGGGACCTTGCTTGCTGTTGGATTTGACTCATCCAGAGATGCTATTGGAGGAGATGAAGAATGTGATGATGATGAAAAAATTAAAGCTGAGATTAGTATTATTAAGAGCCTTTTAAATGTTGTTTCTGATGGAAGCCCACTTGTACGGGCAGAGGTTGCTGTAGGTATGTGGACCCTTGGCCTCTTTCATATTGTAGAATTTTTCATTGCTTCCATGATTAATTTTTGTTTCAACTATTTCTTTGGAGCAATTAATATTTTAAGCCTGCTTTTCTCTAATCTGAAAAGTGGACATAATGGAATGGCTAGTGCTTGTAAACTAAACATTGGTGGTATACAGACAAATAACTCCAACTTTTTTACGTCATGAAAAAAAACAATCTTATATTTCTCCCTTAATTCTTTTCTCCCTCTTTTCCTTCAAATTCTTGTAAGCCAGTGGCTTCAAACAGCTCCATTGACCCAGAAAAGGAAGTACAAAGGGTGTCTCATAATACTTAATTCCACTGTAATTGCATTGCTGATGTAGTGTTTTAAAAGGCAGAATATCTGAAATGTTGGTGATTGTCTTGCTACAGAAACTGAAGCAAATGCTCAAGTTAGTGAGTAGTGAAATATATATGGGCAACTTAAGGTTTCTATGATATGCTTTACCAGCTACTGTTAAGCTAATGACTGTAATTCTTATGTGACCTCCCTCACTTTTTACATTTGCTAGTGAGTAATGAAATATATATGGGCAACTTAAGGTTTCTATGATATGCTTTACCAGCTACTGTCAAGCTAATGACTGTAATTCTTATGTGACCTCCCTCACTTTTTACATTTCTTGACGCTGAATGTGTTGTCCTGTGAGATTGTGTTACTCATACATGAAAAAATGACTACCACCTTCACGTTTTACTTTTCATGCCTACAGAAAAAAAGGTCATTATAGTTAATACATAATAGACCAGGCCTGCCTTTCTAGTTAATTTTCAAACCCTTTCATGTATTTTGATATATGTGTGGATGTGTTTATGGTCATGCTATAACTATGTTATAGACTTTTCTGTGTGCATCTGATAGCACACATATTTTATTTGGATTTGGTTGGAGTGTTGCAATAGATGATGCGATAGGTGATGCAAGTGGACTTTGTATGTGTGAATTATTGATCTGTTTGGATCATATCTTCTCCTTTTTAACAGCTCTGGCACGCTTTGCCTTTGGCCACAACAAGCACTTGAAGTCAATTGCTGCGGCGTATTGGAAACCTCAGTCTAACTCTGTGCTTAGTTCCTTGCCTTCTTTGGCCATGAAGGGTACAGGAAGTGGTTATACTACTCCAACTCAGTACATGCCACATGGAAGTATAGTTCCTTCCCAAATTGGTCCTCTGTTGAGAGTCGGTGGAGACAATCAATCAGCAGTTCGAGGTGGGAGGGCCTCCTCCAGTAGTCCCCTCAATACTTCTGGAATAATGCATGGATCTCCACTATCTGATGATTCATCCCAACATTCAGATTCTGGCATGTTCAATGACTGCATGAGCAATGGGATTGTAAACCATACAAGGCCGAGACCTCTAGACAACGCATTGTATTCTCAATGTGTATTGGCTATGCTTACATTGGCCAAGGATCCATCACCACGTATTGCCGGCCTTGGTCGGCGAGTACTATCCATTATTGGGATTGAACAAGTGGTGACAAAATCTGTGAAGCCTACTGGCAGCAGTGTTCGGCTGGTTGAACCCACAACTCCAAGTCTTGTTGGCCTGGCCCGTTCATCGTCATGGTTTGATATGAATGGAGGTAATCTTTGCTTTGTTTGTGTATTTTGTTTCTTCCAAGGGATGTCTTGCTCTTTTGCTTGAGCTAAGTTCTTATTATGTTTTATAAGTTTGAGATCTTGTTAACAGGACATTTGCCCCTTACATTTAGAACTCCTCCGGTTAGTCCTCCGCGACCTAGTTACTTATCAGGAATGAGAAGAGTTTGCTCGCTAGAGTTCAGGCCACACCTAATGAATTCTCCAGACACAGGATTAGCTGATCCACTTTTAGGTTCCGGTGGAGCTTCTGGGATTTCAGAGCGTAGTTTTCTTCCACAATCAACCATCTACAATTGGAGTTGTGGTCACTTCTCAAAGCCACTTCTTACAGCAGCTGATGATAGTGAGGAAATGATGGCTAGAAGAGAGAAGAATGAAAACATCGCCCTTGACAACATTGCAAAATGCCAGCATTCTTGTGGGTCCTCATAATGATTGATTTCATTCCTTCCTATCATTTCATAATTTTTTATTTTTTTTTTGGTTTCATAATCTACTTTGATTCTATTGTTGAGTTGTCTAGAATGATTAGTCTAGAATGATTTTTCTATTATCTTGCTGATCTTTTATTTTATAATCTGTAATATGTTGGCTTGTTTTCCTTCACAGCTATGAACAAATTGCATAATCAAATTGCAAGTTGGGATACAAAGTTTGAGACGGGTACCAAAACAATTTTGTTGCAACCTTTCAATTCAGTTGTGATTGCTGCAGATGCGACTGAACGAATCAGGTATGAGTCTCACTTTTGATTTATATATTTTATTTTTTATAGTTTGATTGCAAACATCCTTAGTGAAAGTGAAGTTAGTGTAGGTACATGTCATCCAATCTCCTACATGGCTTACCATGTCATCACCTCAGTGGCTGTACATTGTTGCCACATTGCTATCTCCATATGCTCCTTTCTACGGTCTACAGTCAAGCCTCCGGACTCACTCACCAAGACGTGCTCGCAACTCCCCCTCAGCTTGGTTGTGGATTCTATGCTCGAATCTGTGACCTTCTCTGCTCATAATTGACCTAATTGGTACCCCCTTGACTCAACCAAGTGACTCTCCACCCGAGCATATCCCTACTGGCACTTGCATTCAGTCCCAATTACTTGACTTGATGAGTGGTTCTTGTTTCCAAGCACACATCTCCTAACTTGGTTCTCCAAATAGCACCCTGTCATTATAACTACCTAGGTCGGGAGAAGGAAGGAAATATTAATGCCCCATGGGATTGGTGTATCCGTCCTTGGTTGCACGAGTGACCTATGATCCCTGTTTGTGATCACTAGAGGATCTGTGTCTTGGAGGTTAGAGTTGAGGGTCATTAAGGTGTCTTGTCCCAATCCTGATGTTCATGGATATAATAATTAAATGAATTCGACATTTTACACATGCTTGCACCCAACACCCCTACAACCTCATCACCTTTGACATGCTCAAAAGGCTCTCCGCTGCCACACTCTCTCCATCCAAGACCACCTAAGCTGTCACCTCCTCCACCTCAGGTGGTCTCGAGCAGCTCAATGCCTACTGTAAGTCCCAGTGAGCCCACAGTCTACCCACTCACTAATGACCACCCACAGTTGCATCCTTCCAAAATGTTTTTAGTATACTGATGTCTTACCAGCTAATATATCTTGGTGTCATCTGGTCTGGAGATGCGAAACAAATTGTTATGTCGTTCATCCCTCTGCTCTACTAATTTGCTGAAGTTTTTTTTTGGGTGGGTAATTTGCTGAAGTTGATTTCAGAAGAAAGTGCTTAAATTGCCCAACTCGGTGATAACACTATCAAGTTTCCCCTTGTTGATAATAATATCAAACTGACATGAAAAGCATTTTTGAAGTACTTTAAGTTAATTTCATGGTGGAAATGAAATAGGTTGCTATCCTCAATGCAGTTTACAGTCTAGATAGTCGAATCTAAGTTCTTTAGAATAGTTTCGTTTTGTGTGTATATGTATCAACTGCTTGGTCCTTGTATCTTTTCAGAATATGGGATTATGAGGATGCTACGTTGCTCAACAGTTTTGACAATCATGATTATCCTGACAAAGGAATATCAAAGCTCTGCCTTGTGAACGAGCTTGATGGCAGCTTGCTTCTTGTTGCTTCATGTAAATATCTGTATTTCTGTATTTGTTCAGATGAGGTGTTTAACTTGTACATGCTTCATGAATCTAACTTGTACTACTATGTCTGATGCAGGTGATGGGAATGTTCGGATTTGGAAAGATTACGCTTTAAAGGGTAAACAAAAACTTGTAACTGCATTCTCTTCGATCCAAGGTCATAGACCTGGTGTGCGAAGTGTGAATGCCATCGTGGATTGGCAGCAGCAGTCTGGATATCTGGTACATGCTTACGCTAGGATGTAATATAATTAGGAACTGTAGGGTGTGTATGTTTCTTCTTGCTTAAGTTTTTCATTTATTTTTGTTGACGCATTTGTTCAATGCTCTGCTGCTTCTAGTATGCGTCTGGTGAACTTTCATCCATTATGATTTGGGACCTGGATAAAGAGCAGCTTGTTAATTCTATTCCTTCCTCGTCAGAATGCAGTATCTCAGCGTTGGTGGGTTTTATTACAAACTTATACCACTTTTACGTTATTATGTCTTGTGGCTGTATTGTCCTTGTTGTCTATTGTACTTGTTTTTCCTCATTTTCTTTTCTTGTGTTTGCTCTTAATTTTTTGGGCTGAAATTTTCTATAGTTCTCTATGTACATTACTCACAACAAAATTAATGTTGATATAAATCTGTAGTTCAATTACATCGCAGGTTATGGCTTTTTATTATTATTTAATTCTATTTTACTTTTTTGTAAACAATAGTCCAATGCAGATACGATAATTTAAAGTAGAATAAAACAATTTTAATGTCTATTTTGCTATTCTGTGGCTTGTGGCATGATTCTGGGTGTAAATGGAAATCAGATCCCTTCTGATGATTGTTGTTGTGGATCCCGTGCACCAAATAAGAAATATTATTTCTGTTGCTCTTGCTATTTTTGAGTGTGTTTTGTGCTGCATTCATCTGTTATTGTTGATGGTGATATTTGTATTCATTCATGCTTTGTGTAGTCTGCTTCTCAAGTTCATGATGGTCAATTTGTTGCTGGTTTTGTGGATGGCTCTGTCAGACTGTTTGACATTCGAACACCTGAAATGTAAGTAGTTTTTTTATTTTTATTGGGAGTACTCACATAAATTTTTCCCATGATGTATGGCATCATTCTTATAAGAGCATTAGCTTATGATCATAAATTCATGTGATTTTTCTGGAGATATTCCTGTTCAAAGAATGAAACATGTGAAACTATAACTCTTCGAAGGCTTTGAGAAGTTCTTTTTTATTATTATTTATATTTCATTATTTTGTGCAGTAATTATTGTTTCATTCAGATCCTTAATTGTCATCTAAAGACTTCTAATAAATACCCAATCTTCTCGACCCCGTCATTAACACTATTTTGTGTTTTATAATCTGTGTTATTCAGGCTTGTATGTACAACATGGCCACACACCCAGAGAGTGGAAAGAGTTGTTGGGGTTGGCTTTCAACCTGGGCTTGATCTGGGAAAGGTCATTATTAAACTTATTGGTTATAGTAATCTGATGCCTTTCTATTGCTGTTCCTATAGTCATGCTTTACCCTCTCCTATATCACTATCAAACTTGGCATTTAGCGGTGTCATAAAAAGTTTGCGTAATTCAGTTTTTGACTTGTTTATACTCAGATTGTCTCTGCATCTCGAGCTGGCGACATTCAGTTCCTCGACATCAGACGACAGAAGGATACCTACTTGACAATTGATGCTCACAGGGGCTCTCTTACAGCTCTAGCCATTCATCGGCATGCGCCCATTATTGCCAGTGGCTCGACCCAACAGCGTATCAAAGTCTTCAATTTGGAGGGTGAACAACTAGGCAGCATCAGATACTACACCACCTTCATGCCCCAGAAAATAGGTTCTGTAAGCTGCCTCACCTTCCACCCCTATCAAGTACTTCTTGCTGCTGGTGCTGCAGATGCTTGTGTCTCTCTCTACGCCGATGAAATATCTCCCACAAAGATGAATTAGACATATATTCAAATCTCTGGAAAGCCCTATGGTCCAGAGAAGGCAGCACAGGGGAACAAGCTTACATTAAACCGTCACCAATGTGACTTGGTGTACAGAAGAAAATCATTGGGTTTGACTGATTTCTGTGTCTGCTCAAATTCCCCTTTGCAGTGAATATTTCTCGAAACATAGATTGGGAGCTGTGTCCAGATTTTATGGTATATATTCATTAGCCTCCAGTGTTAGAGAGGGTCATACAAGTTGGAAAGAAATTGGGTATATTTGTTGGAGGCTTTGGCAAATAAATATGATGTGTAGGCAAAAATGGTGTAAATATATTTGATCTTTTTATTTTTACTTTCTTCTAGTCTCTCTCTCTCTCTCTCTGTATCTCCTATTCTGGTGTGTTCTGTTTCTCTGTTTTTCTTTTCTGTTCACGACCCCTTTGTTCAATTTGTAAAAGCAGAAAATCCCATTGTCATAATTTAAGTTTCTTTGAGAGGCATCGTTATTGGCCCGTTTAGTGTAGCTGTTAACACAGATTATAGATTATAACTTAATAAATTATAAATTATGAGTTTAATCAGAAGCTGTTAATATATTTGGTATAACTGTTTGATTATAGATTTAAGTTGCTGAGTAGTGTTTGTTAAATAAGTTGTGAAGTAATTTTTTCAATTAATTTTTATTTTCTGTTATTCACTACTTGTTTACATTTCTCATAAAAAAAAATAAATAACAATCTATAGTCCATTTGGGTTTTCTTATTTTAAAAAAAATAAAAAAATTTAAGAGTGTAATCGTAAAGCATAAGTTGATAATTAGAAGCAAGGGATGAGTAGTTTATCATAATTAATTTTTTTGAATTAAAATAAGTTATTAGAATTAGAAATTATTTGAAATAAGTTTAATCAAATAATTTTAAATAATTTTTTTAAAAGTAGAAGTTACAAGTTAACTCAAACAAGTATTGGGAGATTTTATTTATACACCACTGATTGTCTCATTACACACTATTTGCTTAGTTCACACAGCATGAATATTTTGATTTTGTCTTAACACTCCTCACTAATTTTCAAATAATACCAAATTATCCTCTATCTTCTCTAGCAAATCCTAACCCTAACTACGTCCACTGCAATTGTCATCCACCCCCTTACCCAACTCTTTCCTTCTCCGATCGTCTACCACCGGCGGTTACCATCCCCCCCATCGTCGTCCCCCTCCCCAGTTTCCTCATTCTTCTTCTTCGGAGACCCTCACCACCCCTCCCTTGCCTATCAATTAATACAAAACCCTTATCTTTCTCAATCACAAACCTTAGCCACCGTTACTGTCACTATTATCGCAACCATTATCTTCGTCAGTTATTACCTTTGCTTTTTTCTTACAATTGTAATCAGTTATTACCTTTGCTTCTCTCGTCAGTTATTACCTTTGCTCTTCTTTGATAATTTTGTTGAGGGACAAAATGACAATTAAAAAAAATTGAAAAATGGTGGGTAGTGAGAAAATGCGTGGTGCGCAAATAGCATGACCCCCTATTGTTTGTTTAACTTGGGGCCTGAGGGGTCATTAAACTATTTATTTTCCTGCAATATGTGGTTATTTGTTAGAGTAGCATAGCCTGGGCCTCTGCAAAAGTCTTTAATTTGTCAGACGATGCATGATTAAACAAACAAATGGGGTTATTTATCTATCTAAAAAAAAAAAAAACCAATCAAATGGGGTTGATGTTGGACTCTAGATATACTTTATCTGTGACTTGCCATGACAGTTCATTTTCAATCTAAGTTGGCTCCCATTTGAGAAATGTTCTGAATAAGAAAATTGTTGGAGTTCAATTATCTGCCATATATAAACATTAACAGATCAGGATGGTGGGGATTTATTCGTCACGAATCCATTTGTCTATATGTTTCACAGTTTGATTCTGGAGCTGGAATGCTTTTAAACTAGGTTGGATTTTCCTTTCCTTTGTATTGCGATGGGCTCTAAGCTCAGTTTTATATAGAATTAGGATGTTTTCTTACTTTTATACGAATGGAACTGCAAATTATTAGACATTATTGCCACCTTAAATTCATGATGCCTGTATACATTGGTGTTCAAATACAAGGCATATTTATAATCCAAATCCTTCAATGCCCACTGACACCAAATTTTTCTGCTCCACAGTTCGAAAAACAAAAACAAAAAATGACTATCACAAAGAATATATATCTAGCCTACTCGGCAGAAGCAACATTGTGGCAAGTGGTCCAGATTGAAGCTACGAGTGTGCAACCACTCGACCACCAAAGGTATTACCTCACACTACTTGGCAGTGCTATCGACCACTTGGGCCAAAGGCCTAGGTCAAAAAAATGATACTTGAATCAACAGTCAGGTAAGGTCTTCATACCCTGCTGTGTTTGATCCAAAACTACAACAGAACTCATATCTGGAAATTCCTCTGGCCATGAATCTGAATCATCCTGTTAACAGATCCACAGTGAGAAGTTTGTGGTTAACAGGGCCCTACTAAACACATCAGAAGATAATCACCGAGTCGAATAGAGAAGGCCGGTGACCAACCTCAAGCCCCAGATTAAGCTTCAACATGAATTTTCCCAAGCTATAGGTGGAAAGTTACAATTGAAATCAGCACAGAACCTCAATCAACTTTCATCTATTCAAATACCAAACATGTTCTTATTGCAATGCAAGACCATGATTTTATCAATCTAAAGGACTCTACTACATACATGCAAATTGAAAGGGAGAAAAAAAATATGAGGACATATATACCATATTGACATGTATCAAATAATGCTGTTCTCATAAAACCTACGCTGTTGAAAACCAGAATATCATACGGTGAATATATTACTTCCTCCCACCCACCATACTTTGGCTAGACGTTCCCGATAAGCTAGGAGATGTGTTGCTCGTCATCTTAAACCTCCCATCTGCATTGCCGAGAACATTAAGATCTTCAAACAATCTGTATGAGGGAACAAAGGGTTTCTGTACAGCTGCTGCAGGGGCAGTGATCGTAGGGCTAGGGCTCACCCTTAGCTCTCCATTCATTGGTGTTCCATTGCTTCCTCTTGCGTTGAACGAGTTGAATTGCTCCAACGGTCTGCCACCTTGCATAGATGTATAAGATGAAGGCGCATTGGCTCGCTGAGTTGCTAGCGCGTAAGGTCTGGTAGAAAATTGATTCTGGTTGCTAAAATAACCGGGAGTTGGTGCCCATGGAGGAGGAGGGTAGGCCGATGAGTACTGGGGATATTGAGGTTGAGTTTGAGGTGGATGTTGTGTTGGGGGTAGGGGTTGGGGTTGGAGGTAAGATTGAGGTTGAGGCTGTTGTTGGGGTTGGAGGTAAGATTGAGGTCGAGGCTGTTGTTGGGGTTGGGGTTGGAGGTAAGATTGAGGTTGAGGCTGTTGTTGGGATTGGGGTGGAGGCTGGGCCCACGGAACAACATAACTGTTGTAGGGCACTTGTCCGACGTTTCCAGGGTAAGCCTGGGAAGCGTAGGGATACCCTTGTGTGGTTGGGGAAACAGGTGTGCGCTGAATGTTCTGAGAAGAAGAAGCAGGAGTGTGGGGGGTTTGAGGAGAGGGTGTAGTAGTTGACAAGGTGATACTCAAAAGGTCTATCATATCTTGCTCTTTTGTGGTCTTAACTGGTGCAGGTGGATCGGGCAGAGCTAATGCATTGCTTGGGATATTGTTTGTGGCATTCACTGAGGTAACACTTTCATTAGTACCAGTTGTGTCTTGAGAAGTAGTTGACCGCGTTCTGGAATGCCTGCATTCATAAAGCACAAAATACACCAATTGTAAACCAGCAAAATATAAAACAAGAATTCCAACATATCAACTCTAGAATAAAAAAAAGGTGTCTTGGTACTTCAATAGAGAAAATCGCGGGACCTGATGAATGATCTACCCTTCCAGCCCAACTCAAATTTGATTATAAGTTTTATTTGATATGAACCACTCCAATGAACAAACTCAGACTTGAGCATAAATTTGAGTAAAAGATTGTGGCATAGTACATTTGAGACCCACAAAATAACTTCGACAATTTTGAGTAAACATTTGAGTCTCCTTGATTTGGGTAAAAAATTTAAGTAAAGCTCAATGTGGTATAAATTTTGAGTAGAGGTTGAGTGTTTTGAGTGATTTTTACCCAAATTTAAATTTGATATGGATTTGAGTTAAAGATTGGAGATGCCCCAAGTAATTTTATTCTCTATATGTCTCTAATATTGTACACACTATCCAGCAGAATGGCAAAGTAACCAAATGTCAAGATCATCAGATCTTGGTGCTTGTGTGATGTGCCCTAACATTTAAGTGCAATTTCTTTGATCCCTACAAGGAATATATGATAATCAACAATGAGTGAAGAGCAACCTTCGAGCTAACTGTGCGAAGTCATCTTCCTCATCTTCCTCTTCTTCAACAGCTGGTGGAGAGCGATTAACATTTGGTGTTTGGCTGGGTTGTTTATGTTCAGTAGGTTTGAGGCTGGAGTCATGTGCAGGAACTGATTGGGGGCTCAAATTTGTTACTTGAGTCGGCAACGGTGAACCAGAAGCTATAGCATCATGTTTTGCAAGCTCAGTCTGCAGACTATCATTTAATTCAAGACCCTGACCGAGAAGTTCTTCATCCCTGCCACAGCAACCACAACCACAACCATGACCATAAAGACAGCTAAGAAATCCATAACACAACAATGCACTATAGGGTGTATCAATGCACAAGGAAACAGACACAGAAACAGCTAATACCTAGAAATGAACAAGAAAAGCATTGTTGAAGATTTGTGAAATGGTTGGGAAATTAGAGAAACAAAAATCAGAGAATATACCCGGTTGTAGTCAACATCTGCATCAATTTCTTCTGGTTGGAACGACATCGGGTGACAAGATCAACTATTACTTCATCTTTTACAGACTACAAACACAGAGGAAACAAGATGTGAGACTTTATTAGTAAAATGGAGTGAGAATCGAGTAGAGAGAGAGAGAGAGAGAGAGAGAGAGATTTGCACGTACTGCACGGTCATTTGGATTCACAGCTTGCAGCATGTCAGCTAAGAGATCCAGAACATTCCGCATAGAATTTATGCTCGACAAACTAAAAGGGTGAGAAAAAGAAAATGAATCACAAGGGGGAATTAGATTACAACAGTAAGATGGGACTACTACTAGTAAGTGCAACCGAAGTTGAATCCTCACCTTAAATTTTCCATCTCAGCTGCCATGGCTTCATCGAGCCTAGTTGAAGAATTGCTTGGCATTCCAAAACCTGCTTGAGCATGTCTCAAAGTTGAATGGGCAACAGGTGGTGTAAATATTGGCGCTGTATCAAATGAACGCTGGGGAAATACTACTCCAGAACGCTGTCACAAGTATAACCACAACTATAAAATAATATTTTACTGTCATTTATCATACTTTTATACTTTGTAATTCATCAACATATATGATTTTTTAATTTAATAAAGGTCGATGCAAACTGTAACATAGAGAGTTGACACAGGTCAGTTAATCCAATAAAATATACTACACATCTAACACAACGATAAGACCGAATTAAACTATTAAATCTTCTATTTAGTCCTCTGGTTTAGAATGAATATGGTTTCTGTGAGATAGATAACAAAATTAATTATCCTGAAGTCAACTCAATCATATAATGATAATTATCACAGCCCACCGACCACCAGTTATGATGATACGCCAATCACTTGGGCATTTCATAATCTTTGCCTAGGATCCTATAAACCCATTATATCTTGACCATGACACCAAGGACAGATGTCAACTCCATCTAAACAAAACATAGTGGCACAGACAATTGTCAGCACAGAATTGCAACAACAAAAAATATAACCAAGTAAAGATGACAACTACGTATGCTTACTCTCAGTTCGTCATATGCCCAGTAATATTGTGGACATTTTCCTCCGGGGCCACCAAATGCTTCTTGCCAAGAATCTAGGAGTACTAAGATTTTATCCCTCACATGCATATCCGTCTGCAAAGTCCATCAAGAAAATTTGTTTACAAGGCAATGAAATGACCAAGTGTTTAACAAGAACTATCTGAGTGAACATCCAAATGAAAATCCATAAAGAAAATGCCAGATTTCATTAGAAAAGTTAGATTTGTTCAAAAAAAGATGATGAAAAGCACCTAAACATATTCTACAAACAAACAATGATCAAAGCATAGTAAATGGTAGATAATATGCATTTTAGTGAAAAGATCAATACAGTGCATTTCAGAATAGCAACGCTAATATCCAAGAAAGAAAACATGTGTTTCTTGAGGAGCAAAAGAAATAAAATAAAAAGGAAACAGAAACATTAACAAAGACAGAGTAATTGCAAATAAAAACTTACCTTCTTCTTCACAATTTTGATCATCTCCTGCAGAATATTCCTCTCCACAATTTGAGAATGCACATAATCACCACAGTTCTTTACCATTGTCTCCAGAAGCTTCAAATATGCCACATAATTAATGGATTAGAAAGACAAGTTCTAGCACAAAATTCTCCTAAATTTCCAGACAAACATGTATTAAAAACTATGAGATGTATCACAAATAAAGTGGCACCAAACCAACCATTTCACCATTGGTTGATCCTAATCTATGAAGCGTGGATACGGATACGGATTCGGGATATGGGATGGCAATACAACAAAATCTAAAAAAATAAGATCAAGATATGTTGAAAAAGATAGGAACCCCTCAACTATTAACGAATATCACTTTAGCTCGCTCATCTAGTACATAGTGACCCCTCAATTATAAAAAATACAAAAGCAAATGGTCTGGAGGGGTGAAATGATACATTGTTATAGTTGAAGGGGTCAAAATGTTTGGATTCATAAATGAAAGGGTTAGATGATATTCATTAATAGTTGAGGGAGTCTTTCCAACAATATATAATTTTTAGTATTATCTCATACATGAGTTCAAAGAACAGTGAAAAGCTGTACTTTAAGAATTAGATATTAGTTTAAAAGCCAATAGTCATTTTACCATTTTTATTTATTTATAAAGTGGATATGTTAATTTGATAAAATCTACAACAGTATAATACTATTTTAAACTCACTATTTTCTTCTTCCTAAGAAATTAAAAAAAAAAAAAAAATCAAAAAACTATTCTTGTATTTATTCTAACCGTTGTTGTACTCTAATAATATGCAAAAATGATTACAATTTCAATTCATAATAATTTGGATACATGATCTAGAGTGTCCAAAAAGTATTTACTTTTCAAAATTGACATGAAATATTGAATACATATGGGTACAATACAGATAGGACTCCCTTTAAGAAGTGTTTCTGCTTCATAGATCCCAATTCCTGACTTTAAAAAAAAAAAACGGAATGTGCCAAATACAATGAAAAAAAAATTAAACAGATAAAAAAAAGTACCGTCAAGGCAAGTAGGTGAACTTTAGGGTTCTTATGCTGCAACCTTTTCTTCAGAGCTTTGACAACATCTTTTGCTTCCCTGATCAATTTAACAAACCAACACAAATTTTATCGAATCTACTTCCACGAATGGATGAAACTAACTGACATTCAGTAATAACATCACAATCCACAGTAGAATTCAACCCCTGTCCCTTTGTATTTGACATGATCACAAACCATTAAAAAAAAAAAAACCCAATTCCTAGGATTCAACCACTCGAACAAGAAAAATATATATCAAGATTTAAGACCCGATTGTTTCATAATCAAGATAGAAAACCCACCCAAAAATATTAAAGAGTCCCTAATTACGATTTTTAAAATTTTTTCAAAGCATGTATTCTCCTAAAATAGAGGGGCAAAAAAAGCTATTTCATTTCATGAAACAGCAACAACATACTAGAATCCAGATTTAAAATTTTCTTTTGTTTCCCTTGGTTTTCTCGGCCACCAAACAAAGGAAAAGGAGAGGAACTCCGACTAAAAAAATTCAGAACCTTTCGTTTCTTCATCTCCAACCAATTCAAAAGCAACCATCTAAAATCAAACTCCAAAGCATAAAAAGCATAACAAAAACCAGAAAACAAAAAGTCAACTAGAAAAGGTTAAGATTAAGAGAGTTTTTGAGTAAAGTACCAATGGTTGGAATTGATGGAATCACAAATATCCATGTTCATAGTCCAATCGGGACCGATTAAAAGGTCGCTCGTCGCCTTCTCAACTCGAACAGTTGCCGAAGAAGAAGACGATGAAGATGACGATGGCATCATTTTCTCTCTCTATCTTTCCCTCAAAACTCAAGTTGTTCTTGTAAGGACGAGAGAGAACAAACACCAAGAAAATACTAAAAATGATTAATCTTCTTGTTAGCAAAGCGAGGGATAGCAGCAGAAAAAAGTGCGACTTGCTGATTTTCCCGAGAAAATATTTTGAAAGGCATTTTCCGAGAAAAACCCCAATAAAAAGTGCGACTTTTTTATATTCCTTATATTTATCGGTATTTTTCATTTATTTATTTATGCATATTTATTATTCGAGCAGGGGCATATTCGGTATTTTAGTTTTGGTAAGTGGGACACGACATGGCAGCTTTTATTCGCCCACTTGTCTTTTTTTTTTTTATATTTAATTTACACACTTTGTATATCAATTATTAAATAAAAGCATTTATTCAGATATCATGTATACTAAAAATGATTAATCTTCTTGTTAGAAAAGCGAGGGATAGCAGCAGAAAAAAGTGCGACCTGCTGATTTTCCCGAGAAAATATTTTGAAAGGCATTTTCCGAGAAAAACCCCAATAAAAAGTGCGACTTTTTTATATTCCTTATATTTATCGGTATTTTTCATTTATTTATTTATGCATATTTATTATTCGCGCAGGGGCATATTCGGTATTTTAGTTTTGGTAAGTGGGACACGACATGGCAGCTTTTATTCGCCCACTTGTTTTTTTTTATTATTTAATTTACACACTTTGTATATCAATTATTAAATAAAAGCATTTATTCAGATATCATGTATCAATTTTTTATTTGTTAATTAATATTCGAATTATTGATTTTCGTTTGATAATTAACATCTAATGAATTAAAAATTTTAGTAATGTGAAAATAGAAACTCCTTGTAAAATTCTAAATATTTATGTTCAATTTCTTTTCATTTCTTTTTTTTTAGAATTACACACTAGCAGAATATTCTCAAAATAATTAATATTTTATAGAACATTATAATTATAATTATTAAAATTTATAAAAATTTTCATTGATTTCAAATTATTTTTACAAATCTCTGATTTGTTTGTTTGTTTTTTTTTCTTTTTTCTAGTCAATATCATGCTTATAGTTAAGAAAAATAAAATAAAATAAACTAGGAGAAAAAAAACCCAAAAATAAGATAGGCCGATCATTTTGATCATGAGATATTGTATGACATAACTTTGCACTTGATCCTAGATAACTAATACTATTCCCCTATAGTTATTTCTTATTTTGTGAAATTGTTAGTTCAATTGGAATGGTTATTTAGGACTAATTTTACATATTAAGCATAAGAATAAATCGATTTTTTATCACATTTAAACAACAAATTACTTGATTATTATTATTATACGAATATCTATGATTTTATGTCGAGTAATTTTCGAGTATATAGCCTTTATTTTTATTCATATCATATTATATAGCTATAAAATATAAGTAACTTTAAAGAAAAGTTAAAACATTTTACTTAATTCATTTGATTCAATTACTTCGCTTGACTCAGACTTTTTTATTTGCTATCTTAATTATAGGTTATAAGGGAGATTTTGGTAAATAGAGGAGAAATTTTCTAATAATAAAAAGCAAGCTAAGTGTAAACACAAGAGGTGGTTGTGGAAAAAAATTTAAAAAATAGACTTTATATTAATCTGTCTCTTTCGGGCCGACTTTTGGGATGCTTTTATTTGTGTTGGATTTATCAATCAAACGAACGGAGATTGAGAGTTTAATTTTTGGAGTTTAAAAAGAATTTTAATAATATAATGAGAAGTGAGACTTATATACGAGGTAATGTGTGTAATTATTTATTTTATTTTTTCTGCCACAGCATTAAACCTCTATTTAAAATTTTAAAATTAAAACTTTCTCCCAAATTTTCACTAAACTTGCATACATATCAATTTCATGTTTAATTGTGGCACAAGGCCCTATTTCTTACACAGTTAAGTTAGAATGGTCATTTGACCTTTCGAATAGAATGATGAATCTTTTATAATGCCAATGATATTTTTATTTATAATATATTTTTTATTATTTTTTTCATTCCATTAAATCAAACATTATTTAATACTTTGGAAAATGATCTTCATTTTAGTCTTAAGAGACTTTACATTGAATATAATTCAGTAGGGGTGAGCACCAGATATTTTGATCCGTCTAAATTAACCATACCGAACCGATTTGTCGTATTTTTGACAGATGCGTGATGACGAGCGGACGATTGTAGATTATTTTTTTCAATCTGTATAATTGTAGATGGATGGCGAATTTGAGATTTCTTTGATTGTAACTGAACCGCCAAACCGCGAGCACCCCTAGTAATTTGTAAAATTTTATGTTTTCAATTTATTTAAATATTTTGTTTGTGTTTTCAATTGAAAAAGAGTTTAGATATTCTGTTCTATTTTTAATTTGAAAATTCTTTTATCAAATGACAAGTGCTGATATTTGGTCTTTTTGTGTGAAAAATATAAGGCTTAATTTAGTCATTTAAAAAAAAATTTAAATTAAATAGTTTTTGAATAAAAAAATAATGAAATAGTTTTGATAATGCATGGTTTTTTTATATGAATTTATTATTGGTATTTGACAATTTACTTGATAATCTTTTGGTCATGTTGAGTTGGATTGTTATAAAAAAAAAATGTTGACACTTTGTTGTATTATATTCAAAATTTGTAAAAGTTTAAACCGCCAAACCGATTCGCATCCATCCACTAACCCACCAATTTACTCAATTCGCATTCGTCAATTTAGCAGACGGATACATATTGATTTTTTCTAATCTACTAATCCGACGGATGGATGATGAATTAGAGTTTCTTCGGCCGCAACTGAACCACTAACACCCCTATAATCCAGGCTTACAAACCACTATGGTGGCTTTGAACGACCTAGGCCCATGACTCAAATAGTCTAGTAGACGGTAGGTAAGGTCAGGCCCAACGATGTAGGTTGGGGTCAGTGACCCATCTTAGAGCTTGTCAGACTTGCCTTGTCAAGCTAGTCAGAAGAGCACCAAGTTGATTGGGAAGACCCATTTTCGACTTAAGCAAGTCATCATAGTTAACTGGTTGTAAGGGTTCACTATCCTAGCCTGGATGAGAATACACAATCTATACTTATAGCAATTGGGACACTTGGCGCAATGTAAAGTGGTCCCTTCCACCTGTAGCCGTTGTTAGCTAATAAAAGGACGTATCCCATAACTTTAATGTCTTAAAAATGAGGATGGTCAATGTGGCACTTTCCTATTGGATGAGTGACTAACAAAAATACTCTCTTCATGTGGAACATAATCGTAAGAGGCAATTATATGTATACGTCAACCACACTATTAAAGGTACAGTAAAATAGTTTTCTAAAAATAGGTTTTTTTATGTTTATATATATAAAAGGTGTATGGACATACTGTTAGTAAAATTTTTGTTAGGCTTAGATCGGCAAAGCCTTACTAAAATTTCACCAAACAACACAATCATCAAGCAATTGTGTTGAAGTTCTATACCTTGAAAGTTCAAGAACTTCCTTGGAGTAAAAATAATGGCAATACAAACAAGAAAAAGAGAAAGAAGAAGAAGATTATGATGTTAATGAATGAATGAACAATCTGTTAGGTTTTTGTAATTGGCAATCATGTTGACATAATTCCTTTCAATTATAATTTTATTCGCTCTTATATTTCAGTGAGGATATGAGTATTTTGATGCAAATCCAACCTGAATTGTGTTTATGCAGAGGAGTTTGTGATATTGATCCTTTCATGTTTGTCACTTCACTGATTATGTACGGGGATTGAGTTACTCGGTCAGCTCAAGGAGGTCTAGGGGCAACACCTTATGGTGGGGTCCGGGGCATTGCTCACGCGGGGTCGAGAAGCAGTGCCCCCGAAGCCAGAGTTGTTTGACCGCTCGAACGGTCATTTGTCCGCTCGAGCAATGAAAAACATCATCTAGTATTTTTGCAGAGAAGACTGAACTTTTGAGAAAATCCTTTATGCGCTCGAGCGGTGGGCATGCGTTTTAGTGAGTTCGCTCGAACGATGAAATGAACACTCGAGCGGTCTTCATGGCTCTATTTTCTATAAAGTGTCGTTTGTTGTTTTTAGGGTTGAAACCGTCCAGAATTTTAGAGAGAAAGAAAAGACAAAATGTTTTTCTATTGGAGGCTGTTTTATACAAGTTTCCTTGGTATATAAAAGGTGATCGATTGATCAACGAGCTACAGATTGTCAAACATCAAGGTTTGTTCTTATTATTTCGTTCACAAAAGAGAGAGGTGTTCTTCGGTAGATTTCAGGGAATTTGGACCTGAAACTTTGGTAGATTCTAGAGTGGCTCATCGCCGTGGATTCAACATTAGCGTTATGGATTCAATGTTGGGCAAGACAATTCCAAGGTGAAGACAGTGGTGGAATAAACACATTGAGTCGGTTCAATCAAGTGTAGATTCGCTAGGTAATTGAGAGTACACTCGTGTAATTCCTTTTTGTCTTCTTAGTAGATTGTTTGTGGCTTTGGCCCATGATTCTTTATCACAATTGGAGGCATTCCAATTGGTTTTTTTTTTTTTTTTTTTTTTTTTTTTTTTTTTTTTTTCTTTCAGGTTAAATCGTTATGTTGATTTGTCTTTGATTATTTGGTTGAGATTGTTATTCATTGTTTAAAATTGAAACATAATCACAAAGTAATATCTTGGAAATTTTAGATTTTTCACAATCAAATTACAAGTACATTAAGACTACTCCGATTTAAGTTTGAACTACTCCTATATAGAATAGATCTACTCTTAAGATAGAAAAGAAATGGAAATCAAGTCATGTATTGATTTGTTGATCCCTTACAATAGAGCCATTAATTGCAATTTACAAAAAAAATGAAGGAAAAAAACTTCCATTAACCACCATCTAAATAACTACTTTTAACTTCCTAAATCTTTCATCTTATTTCTTACAATGTCATGTGTCTTCCATCCCTTGAATCTTCAAAATTTCTCTTAAGTTCCTTTTAACCTCCAATATTTTCCTGCATAATAATAATAATAATAATAGTAAGAAGAAGAAGAAGTAATAGAAAATTTAAACCTAGTCATAATCGACGGAAAATTTATTTATGATGCAAACAATGCTCTCCCAACTCTTTAAGAATGAGAGCACTCAAATTCTTGAAGAGTTGTATGAACATAAATACATAACAAAAACTATGAAAATTATAATC